CGCAGACAGCTGCTAAAGAAAAAATGTTTAAAAGCTCGTTATTTAGGTAAATTCTTTTAATATATATCTTGTTTTGAAGGTTTTGGTAAGCACGTAGAATAAAATCATCATTTATTGTCAATCGACTGAAGCCGGCGAAAATTGTAAAGTCTTAATTAGCATTTCAAGGAAGATCTGAACTTCTTCGTGATGGAAATATCAAAATAATTACAAAAAATGTGGCGGAAGACAATTAGTCTTCATGTACAAAAAATGGTACGTTTAAAATTTTACCTGACAGTCCCATTTAAATTTATTAGTCGCTGACCGGCATGTCCGTACGTGAGCTTAAGAAATATATTATTCCTGTGATCTCCCAACTGGGCATATCAAGCGAAAACGTGGTTGCCTTAGTCCAACGTAACTCAAGCAATGCATAAACGAAAGAAACTACTAGCAGTTCTCGTGAAAACGTGTTAGAATACATACTCGAACGTTGGGCTGTTCGGTAACAGCCATACATTACATTGCACATAATATGCAAGCATATGTACTCGAAAACTTTGCAAAGGATTATTTTCCTACGTACTTTTACTTGTGCTGCTTTATTTACTCGGTGGTTTTGCATGAACAGGCTTCCTTTACATGTAAAACATAAGTTGTCCCAATACGCCCGATTTCTCTTTTTTCGGAATTTTGCACTTTGCTAAAAAAAAACTGCTATTTCTATAAAATTTTATATTCCTTCATAGATCACAATATGCCCTTTTATGAAGAACAACCATTAATTTACTGCTGTAAGACTTTGGGGCCGCAGCTTGGGCTGCGTTTGAGTAAGAGGGAGTTGCTTGTACAAATTGTTCGATTTCATGAGATAGTGAATCTACTGTATGATGATGTTTCTGGCGCTGGTTCGCCAGTCTCGCCGCGGTGGATTCACAAGTGACTAACCAAATCACGATGCCTGCAAAGAGTCGGCTATAAATTAAACTCTTAGTCGGAAGAAGTCATTATATATCGGCCTAGGTAGAACTGACTTTCCGCTGCTGATGAAGACGCACCAGCATCAATCAGCGTTGTGCATGCTTCGCTTAAAGTCATAGGTAGCAGCCCATGGCACAAAAACCTGGCAAAACTTCGATTTCAGCTCAGAATATGCTCCTGGTGGAGGGCACAACCACTTGACAGTTAACAACTTTCAAACAACTGCGTAATCAGCCGTCACGTCGACTTGTTGGTTGTCTAAGTTGATTGTCGCTGGTCTGAATATAAATCAACTAGAGGGGACATCAAAGCCGTTGGCTGACACTTGAACACACATATCCTCACTGCCAACAGTGAGAACGGTACTGACGTCGCTCACGGTGGAACAGGGACGTATGACTCACCTATAGGGAATGCTACTGACTCACGCGACCTGAGCTGTGATTTAAGCTTATATCTGCAGCTTCTGAAAGGACTTAACCCTCCTTTAACAGATCACTCGATTCGTTACCTCCTGCTACGGACTAGTTATGAGTCTCTTGTTAAATGTCTCCTCTTATAGCGCATCGTCTTTCTTCTGTTGAAGGCACAGCTGCCGTCGTCAGGTGGCTGTATCCGCAAATTAAAATTCAAAATCACTAAAATTTTGTTCCAAGATGCAGTTAACTGAGGCGACCGATGTCGCACAACCATGGTTTGTGTGACAGCGTGGCTGATTTCATCGGACAGACGTCTCATGTTTGTGCATAAAAAGCAAAC